TTCCGCTGAGCAGGGAGCCCGATGTGGGACTCGATCCCAGGACTCTGGGATCATGACCTGAGCCGAAGGCAGACGCCCAACGACTGAGCCACCCAGTCTCCCTGGGCATGGGCTTTTCTATGTGGGTAGTTTTTTTGATTACTTACTCTACCTGTTTTCTTGTTAAGGGTCTGATCAGATTATCTATTTCTTCTCGAGTCAGTTTCAGTAGTTTGTGTTTTTCTAGGAATTTCTGCATTAGTTCTAAGTTATCTAATTTGTTGACATACAACCACTCATAATTTTCCTTTGTAATCCTTTTTATTTCTTTAGGGTTGTTAGTAATGTCTCCTCTTTCATTTCTGACTCTAGTAATTTGAGTCTTCCTTTTTTTCTTGGCCAGTCTGGCTAAAGGTTTGGCAATTTTGTTGATCTTTTCAGAAAACCAGTTTTTAGTTTTATTTTCTGTTGTTTTCTCTATTTCATGAATTTCTGCTCTGATCTATATTATTTCCTTTCTTCTGTTTGCTTTAGGTTTAGTTTGCTCTTCTTTCCAGTGTCTTAAGATGGTAGTTTAAGTTTTTCATTTGGTATCTATTTTCTTTTTAAAAATATAGGCTTTTACAAGCATTACTTTCACTGTGTTAGTCAAATAATGAAATTTGTAATATTTTGTTAGGACTGAGGTAGATATGCTTTTTAAAAATGAAAAAGTTATATAGCTTCTTGCCAATCTGGACAAGTTTTGTTTCATTTTGGGTATATATAACTTTACAAATATTAAATCATTCTTATTTTTATCGTAGTTGATAAATATGCTTCTTTATTTTTATGGCTAAAGAATTTTAGACTCTGGCGCCTGCATGGCTCAGTCGCTAAGTGCCTGCCTTCGGCTCAGGTCATGATCCCAGGGTCCTGGGATCAAGCCCCACATCGGGCTCCCTCCTCGGCGGGAAGCCTACTTCTCCCTCTCCCACTCCCCCTGCTTGTGTTCCTGCTCTCGCTATCTCTGTCTCTTGTCAAATAAATAAATAAAATCTTTAAAAAAAAAAAGAATTTTAGACTCAGTATTTAGTAACTTGCTCAGGATCACTCAGAAGTTAGGGTCAAATGTTTTGAGTATTTGGAGTCTCATTTAGGCTTGTTTTCCTATAACTCTCTTCATCCCCAGGATTCAGAGTGTTTTTTATTTTATATATCCCATAAAGAAAAGATGTTAATAGTGGTTATCATAGAAAGAAAAGAATATCTCAACAGTTTTCTAAGGAATATTGATTCCTGAGGGTTTGGCAGAAGGGATGAAAAGCAGTTATAACACTAGAACATCTCTTCCCTTTCTGGGAGGCAGAATGGTATAATGGAAAGACTACTGGGTTTGGGTGTCTGAAGATCTGGAGGTGAGTCCTGCCTCTGCTGTTGACTAGCTGAATTATCTCAGGCAAGTCACTTAGGCCCCTCTTGGACTGTTTTATAATCTGTAAAGTAAAGATGCCAACTTATCTACTTTCTGAATTCCATTCATTAAATGCCTGCTGTGTAGTTGCTACCATATTAAACATTGTATGTATGTGTTGGCTCCTTATTCCCCATATCAAATCCCATTAGGTAGTTATTATTAACTTCATTCAAATAGAGTACTTCACAATTGCATAAAGACTTTTAAAGAAGCTTTTAAAAAAAAGAATTATGAGACAAAATGACAACACTGTAGAAAAGCAATTTAGAGTTGATTTTTTAATCCACAAACTGTATAATTCATGTATATACAAACCATAAAATATTTATTAAGTTTGCATCTTTGTATGGCATTATGCAAAAATAGCTAAATGGACGTTTGTTTGGAAATTTATATATGGCACTTAATGGTGAATACTCTGAAAGCCATCTTGGTCCATTTTCATCACTGATGGAAAAAAAGAATTCTGTACTTTGTGCCATTAAAATGTGTATGTGTGCAAATATAAATTTGTATGCATTGTTATTGGTTGCAGGGCAATTCATGATGTTAAAGCCACAGATTTGGGATTAGGGAAAGTAAGATTTAAGGCAGAAGTAGATTTTGATGGACGAGTTGTTACAAGATCATATTTGGAAAAACAAGATTTTGACCAAATGCTACAGGTAAGTTTATGTATTTATTGTTTTCTTATATAGTCAAAGGTTAGAAAAATTACTTTTTGAGTAAATAAAATAAAACTTTTACAGGTCTTAAAGTCACTTGAGCTTTCAGCTTAGAGTTCCCAAACTTGACAAAGACCGTTTTATTTGCTGTAGAGTGGGTCAGAGGAGATAGCAGCAGAGCAAACTACTATTCAGGTGCTTGCCATGTGCCAGGCGTTTTATAGAAATTCTCTAGCATACTCTCAGCAACGCTGTGAGGTAAAGAAATAGTGTTTTCAGTTTTATACATAGGCAAATTAAGACACAGAAGGATTAAGTAATTTGTCTAAAATTACAAAGCCATAATATGGAGTCAGATATCAATGTAGGTCTCTGTGATTCTACAACCCATGATTTTATATTAAGAATTAAATTTAAAAGAGAATTCGGAGGGTAATAATAATGAACAGTGCAAAGGTTACCACTTGCCTTTGTCAAATCTTAACATTTTACTCTACTGTGTTTGCTTACGATCTTAAAGAAAGAAATTGTTACAAAAACAGGTGAAGACCTTGTTTTCTCCTTCTAGATCCCATTCTTCTTCCTCCATCCCTAGAACTAAAAATTGTCTTGAATTTAGTACTGTCATTTACATTCAGTTTTTCTACTTTTCCATAGATTTTTCTTAGCACAGTATATAGTAGCATTTTGAATATTTCAAAATTGATATAAATGCTATCATACCATCTGATTTCCTCTATAGTTTGCTTAACAGCATCATTTTGAGATTCTTCCATATTAATATATGTGTGTACACATATATTTATTTATATGTTAATTATTTTTATTTTTATTTTTATTTTTATTTTTTAAGATTTTTATTTATTTATTTGAGAGAGAGAATGAGAGAGAGAGAGCACGAGAGGGAAGAGGGTCAGAGGGAGAAGCAGACTCCCCGCTGAGCAGGGAGCCCGATGTGGGACTCGATCC